CTAAGTTTGTAACATTATACATCTATTTCTAATAAAATTTTATTGTTTTATTGCCCTTTGAACCATGTCTGACTACTAGTACTATCCGTGCCAATATAAGTTGTAAACCACTCTGGGATCATGCAGCTCACGTTACACTATCGAATTACATTACCCACGAGCTGCTCGCGTGTGTGCCTCATAAACCATTTTAATTATTATTATTACTTATTTTACCTAATCTAGTTTTAAATAACTTAAAAAGATCCATATTTTTAGATTTCAGTTATTTTTATAATAATAAATAAAGAATAAATATGAAAAACAATCTTCTTTTTTCTTGCTCTCGAGTTTCAAAGCGAGTTAACCCTAATTTTTTTTATACTATATATAGTAATGCACATAATAATTTTTATTTAATTAAATAATGCACCAAAGAATACAGACTAGTAACATGCAAAAAGTAGACAGATTCACTTATCTCTCAAATTTTTCCTGGCTTTCTTACTGTGCAATAAGAGCTGTTACAAATTCATCCAAGCTAGTCGTTAACTTTCTCATGGGAACGAATCTTGTACTCTAAGTGCAATTGAAAATATTCTCTTCAGAATACAATGTTATACAATACGTCATTTGATAGATTAAAACCTTGACTTTCTTTTGGTTATAGGTAATACATAATGAAAGATAAGAGAGAACTATAAATGAATTGTGAAAGAGAGGTTGTGACAGGTGGGTGTGGCAGGAGGGGTCTGATTTTCTAATCGATAGCTCTGTAACCGATAATGATTTTATAGAGAGTAATTTATGTTTAAAATCGTACATTTTTGATGGGTTATGGATAAAATAGGGATGATGGCACACTAAGACAAAATGTGGCACGTGGGTCACACTAGTGGAAATTCAGGATTTTTTTAAATATTGCCTTGTAGAATTAAGAACTTAAAACTTGTATACTATTAAAATATGGATTAATAGCTAAGATTTTATGCTATTCTAATTAGTATAACATAAACATAATGTAATTTAATAAAATTTTGAATGTCAGACACTAAAACCTTGTGTCATGTGCAGTAAAGGGGTACAGGATTAAAGGATACCTGGTCAGGCACCACTCGCCACAAAGCAGGATCCATGTAAGGACTGTATGAAGGATGTGCCCCTGAAATAAAATAAAGCATTAAGAGAGACTTACCCAGTCTTAGAGTCACATCACAATTTGAACAGTCACAGGTGGAAGGCAAAAACCTGAGAAATCTGAAACCACGGTATGATGTAAATATTGGGAGATGAACATGTTAGGGGTGGTCCACTTGCCCGATTGCAGGATTTCCTCCAAAGACCGACGAAGACTAAAAACGAGGGAAAAGGTGAGGTGTTGGATTTGATTAGAAGTTACAAATTCCAGTTGGGAGGGTACAAGGAGGAATATGCCAACTGTATCAAATGACAAACCCAACTGGTGAGGATAGAAGGGGACAGATCTCTATACGAAGACGACTGCCACAGGATAAAGAGTTGAGAAACGGAACCACAGAAGGAAGCCATGCAGGCAACATAGCAAAGAAAGGCACACACCGAACATAGAAGTCTATTTGGATCAGGACAAGGGTAGATATGAGAAACAGAGGGAAGGGAAATAGACAAAAAAGAGGAATTACCCTCTCAAGTTGCCAAGGTTTTCGGGAGGAAGGTACAATCCAGATAAAGGAGAAGATAGGTATGGTGGTAAAGTGTGCATGTAATGTTGATGGCAAACAAGTCAGACAGTTGACGACAGAGGGAAATACACTTCAAGGAAAGAGGTTCGAATGGAGGTAAAGTAAGGGAATGGAGGACCATATTAATATCCCAGTCTGGAAGAATAGGTCATCAGAGAGAAAGATGAATCTGGAAGAAACAGCTTAAAATGGTAAGGATGGGTGAAGCAAAAACTCTACGGTAATGGGAAAGACGAAAAGTATTTGGTGACAAGGCTGCCTTATAACCTGAAACTGAGGAGACCAAAGACCCCCACCCCCAGCCGATCAAAACGACATGTGAGAAACTGGAAATCCCCAAGCATGGGACCACATGTGAAAGACTTTTCACTTCCACTGATATACTGCCACAGAAGAAGGGCGTTTTGACTCAGCCAAATGGAAAGCTATACGATGGGAGAAACCAGATCTCCTCGCCAAGAACTGGACAAAAG